CGCCAGAGCTAGGCACTATTTTAAACACATCACCCATAATCACTCATTTAAGCTTCACAGAACTCTCATAGGGAAGGAGAGTGAATTACCATCATCCCATTTTACAGATGAGGAAATCAAGGCATAGGGAATGAAGTGACTTGTCAAGTTTGCATAACTAGCTAGCTACAAAGTGGTAGAGACAAAAGTTGAACCTGAGCAGCGTTTCTCCAAAGCCCATGGTGTCATTACTCTACTACATCCCTGCTCTTTTGGGAAACTAACTTCTGTGGCTGGTTATAGCAAATCAGTTTGTATAGCACACTGAAATGATTCTCTGCTCCACCATTACCCCGATTACTGGGGAGAGATTTGAAAGCTGGAGATAATATATGGTGCCATTTGACCAGATGGTTCATGTAGAAGTGTGACTGGCTTATGTGTGGAGCCCCATAAAGAAAAAGCCAGGCCAGAAAAGAGGCAAATATAGTGTAGCCTAACAAGATCAGGGTTTCTACTGCATATGGAATAGGTCTCATTCATATTAAAAGGGAAAAATACAACTTCTGGCCTACTATGGAGCAATGAAACTGCCTCATAGCTAATTCCAAAGGAAATAATGTAAAAAGTAAAAGCAAATCCTCCAGAAATTCATCAGCAGTAGTCAAATGAGGAAAGAAGCACATTCCAATGATAGCATCAAAAAGGTGATCCAGGAAGGACACTCGACTTGGGAGCTAACTGGCCCTGCCATGTTGGTAGGGCTTCCAACCCCCTCACCCCCAGCTCCTTCTCTCAGAGGTCACAAAATGTTAAGCATTGTCATCAGCCCTCCAATCTGCAAAGAGCCGACCTGTGCGGTTCCCTTTATCTTTTCTGATCACAGGGGATGAAAATCGCTGCTGGGGAGAGATTGGGTGAAACATTCCACTGGAATGGCAGGGATGTGAAAGCTCCAGGGGCTGCCCTCTTAATGACAGAAGGGGATCCGAAGCCTGTGGAAGTGGAATACACCAGGTGATATGAACTCTCTGAAATAGAAATGAGCACAGCGCTCAGGGTTTCTATTGAAGAGTGCACGCAGCTGCCCACTGAGCCCCCCTACCATGCCCACAGGGCACAAAAAACAGGAAACACCAAGCCCACCAATTATAGCACTTTGGGGAAAACAAACTGGTCTCAGATAAGGTGGGAAGGGAGTCACGAAGTCACCCACACTCCATCAGAGCAAACAGGGGGTTTGACAGAGCTGCCCGAACTTGAGCAAGATGAAAAGAATCAGGCCTGGCAAGGAGGCCCCGGTGCCTGCGGGGCTGGGGGTGGAGTAGGGGTGGAAAGAACAGTCTAACAAAAGACAAACACACCGCAGCCTGCGTGAACACTTAACTCAAGGAAAAGAAAGAATTGCCCTTAGCAGAGGCTCCAGGACAAGACAGAGCCATCCAGTGATCAGGGCCCTCGGGAGAAGGGATCCAAGAGAAGAGAGCCAGTGAGAGGATACCCATGTGAGCCATCCTCTTAAGGCCCACCTCGGGAAGTCTGAGACCAGATTCCTTTGTGCAATTCAAGCAAGTGGGCCAGCTCCAGCCTCAGGACCCTTGCTGAACCCTTCCGAGAGAAGACAGCTATTTGAGTGCCACTGTGCTAGGGGCCAAGTTTTTTAAATGTATTAAGTCATTTAATCCTTACAGCAGCCCTATGAGATAGTCACAATTATCATCCCATTTTACAGATAAGGAAACTTTGCACAAGGGCACACAGCCAGCAAGGTGGTCTGGATCCAGAATCTTGCTCCTATTATACAACTTGCTATCTTGTATTCAAGAGAGAGAGAGAGAGAGAGAGAGAGAGAGAGAACACGTTTTACTGCTCTAGAGCTGGAGAAGCCCGTTTTGTTTACCAGGTAGATAGGAGACTAATTACAAACTGTCTACCCTGGGAGAGGAACTCTTTGATTTTGCTCTCCACTCCCCTCCCCCAGAGAGTAGCTGGGGAGGAGCAAGGGGCCTGCCATCTGGTTGCATTTTCTTTTGCTAACAAACCTTACTTTACATGTAAATAACCAGTTGAAATTAATCTGATTTCTATTAAGTGTTCAGATCTTTCTCCTAGGTAAGTGGAAATCCCTTTACCAACAGGTTTAGCTTCCCAGGCTGTAGACTACACCCATATATAAAACACCCACACAGGCACACAGGGCTTGCAGCAGTGTCTTTAACACAGACATAATTATGACTCACGAATAAGCATGGCTGGAGCATAAAGCACTCAACCAGAAGTTACATAAGCATGGATGTCATCCATTTTCTATTAGGGCATACAAACATGACGCATAGTGGACTGGAGATTAAATTAACAGGAGGCAGAATAGGCCATTTATTGTAATGAATTCCTGGAGGGACATATCTGTCTTGTAGTCACTAGTTTACTGTAGGGAGTGTAATATTCCACCAATTAACAATCAGCTCAATAATAATCCCCAATATTGCTTCCAGAGAGCCATCTGGCTTACAAACCAGTGATTTAAAAGCTTTCTATCTGGACTCAGTGTCTTGTGTTCTAGAGCTTGTTACCCTAAAATAATTCCCACATGTGAAGGATGATGGATTTTGAAAGCTCCAAGAAAGTGCCTGAATTGTTCCAAACTCCCCAAATCATGAATAGGAAAGACAGGCGAAGGCAGGATCCTCAGCTCAGGAGCAGGACAGAAACATGAAACATCTACAGCATGCAGGGCAGCAAAAGCATGTGGCCCTAACATCACACTCTCCCTCTCATTTAGCCCCTTCTATCTGATTTGCTCCTTTATCCTTCTCTAAACTTGTAACGTATGCATGTGTGGAAAACTTGTGAGAATACCTCCAATGATCTATTACTTATAAATGTTTATTGATTATCATCATCATCATCATCATCATCACTGCTTCATCTACAGCATACCCACCTGCTGGTACATGTAAAGGTGTTAATTGTGAAGATAAGAAGCGGGAGAGTCCAAGTGTCCTGTATGGAGGATAGTAGCTGAAAGCCAAATTGGCACAGATAGAACTCCCTCCCCGAGGCATGGAGGTTTGATGGGGCAAATGATCTCACATCCTGGGAGCCTCTGGGGCCATCCCTGAGGCAGTCATGAGAGGTTAGCTTGAATTTAGAACAGTCAGTAAGAACTACGACTATTTAGAACCATGAGGAGTCTGGAAGTACTTCATGTTTAGAGGACAGAGAATGGAGGGACAATGGGAAGAAAGAGGCAGAGTGACAAGACAAGGAAGACCAGGGAAAATGAGTTCATGAAAGCCATGAGGGAAGGGGAGAGTTAAAAGTGTCTAAACATCAAGCTTCTTGAAACTTATATTCCTTTAGAAAGAAGGCCCCCCACACCCCCTCCTTCTCTCTGGCCATCAGTCCCCGCTTGTCTTAGTGACCAGGACTCCCACATCTGTTCCTGCAGTTTAGACTCTTGTTTTTTTTCAACTACTTGCTAAATACTTTCACTTGGATGTCCCATGGACCCAACCGAACCCATCCTTCTTCCCTTTATTCATCCATGCGCAGCAGGACTTGCTATCATCTGACAATTAACATGACCTGTGTGTCATCTTTGATAACTCCTTGCCCCCTAATCTTGATTTCCAATCCCTGAGACTTGCCATTCTGTCTCCTCAGCATTCGTCACATTCATCAAACTTTTTCCAGTCTGGGTTCCTGCCACATCATCTTTCCTCTACCATCACTGTGGTTTTCTGTCATTGGTCTCCCCATCTCTGGTCCTGCCTCCCTCAAATCCATGCTTCCAACAGCCTCATAGTCACCTGATGCCAAGACCACCATTTCACCATCTTGTTGAAAACCATCCATTTCACCATCTTCTTGAAAACCATCTGCTGCCCTCAGCCAGGGACACTATCGAAACAACCTAAGTGCCCATGGGTGAATAAATGCATAAAGAAGATGTGGTATCTATGTACAAATGTATTACTCCATAATAAAAAAAGAAGGAAATCTTGCCATTTGCAACAACATGGATAGATCTAGAGGGTATTATGGTAAGTAAAATGTCAGAGAAAGATAAATACCATAATCTCACTCATATATGGAATCCAAAAAACAAAAACAAAAAACAAGCTCATTGATATGGAGAATAGATTAGTGGTTGCCAGAAAGGGGGAGGGGGCAGCCAAATGGTGAAGCAGGTCAAAAGGTAGAAACTTCTAATTATAACATAAATAAGTCATGGGGATGACAATGTGGTGCCTATACTTACTGCACTGCATTTTCAAAAGTTGCTGAGAGAGTAGATCATAAAAGTTCTATCACAAGAAAAAAAAATTCAGGACACCGGGGTGGCTCAGTGGTTGAGCGTCTGCTTTCGGCTCAGGGTGTGATCCTAGCGTCCCGGGCTCGAGTCCTACCTCAGGCTCCCTGCAAGGAGCCTGCTTCTCCCTCTGCCTATGTCTCTTCCTCTCTCTCTGTGTCTCTCTCATGAATGAATCAATTTAAAAAAAGAAAGAAAGAAAAGAAAAAAATTGTAGCTATGTAGGGTGATGGATGTTAACTAGACTTAAGTGGCAATCACTTCACAATATATACAAATATCGAATAATTATGTTGTACCCCTGACACTAATACGTCAGCTATATCTCAATGAAAAAAAAATCGTCCATTTGTTGCCCATTATCCATTGGATAAAATTTATATGGGCCTTCTGTCATCCAGCCCCTGCCTCCCTCTTCAATATGGTCTTAATGCTCCCTTCCCAAAACCCAACAATGAACTTCATTAGGTTCCAATCACACCATTTTATTTCTCTGTATTTCTGCTACTGCCCCCTCCCTAAACCCAGCCTTGCCCAACTATCTCACACCCATACTCTAGGACCCATCTCCACTTTGCTTTCTCCAAAAAACTTACCTGATCCATCCAGACTAGTTTCCCTCCTCAGTACCTTATACATTGTAGGGTTTTTTTATTTTTAGGTCATGCAGGCAAAATACTCCGAATAGTGCCTGGTATATTGTAATCACATCACTGAACGCTATATAGCTACTCCATCACATTCCATATTGTATTATAAGCACCTGTTTTTATTTCTGTTGGATACTCATCTCCTTGAAGACTCACAGGATACCTCTTGTTTGCCCATCCAGGTCCACTGTACCCTCCTCCTTTCTGCTCTGCTCCAGGAGGCCAATGTATAGACTGCATCAACTGGCTTCCTCTTCCACTGGCTTCCAGTTGGTTGGGAAAGGGCACTGCAGAGTAAGGTAGGTGAAGTCAAGGTATGTATTCCTCATCATGCCAGATGGCCATCAGTTGACTGTGTCCTGGATTGAAGACCACGCTGTCAGGAAGCCTCTCTACATAGCTGGCTGGTACTTCTTCACTTCCTACATTCCCAAAGCTATGCCTCCCACCCTCCCTCCACTTCAGGTCAAAGGATGGTAATTCCCAATATTACTAGCCTTAGGGGACTACACTATCCCATGTGGTTTCCCTAACCTCTGTCTACATTCTCAAATGACCCAATATGAAGTGCTATCTATCTTCTGCTGGGATTCTAACTGCTACAAGGACAGCTTCTTATCTATCTCTGAAGCCTCACATCCAACACAGCACTTGGCATACAGTCGGTGCTCAATAATGGTTGAACGAATGAATGTGTCATCTTGCTGCTGTTTGCCAAGTTATGCCCAGCTATGTCTGAGACAACAGATAGTCGTGGTAATGAGTGAACCCATTGAAAATAGGCTCAAGGAGAAATAGCAGGAGGTACTTCCAAAAACACAGGTGGGGGTGACTCAATGAGTCCTAGACTCATTGTTTAGGACTAGAGAAAAGAAGTGAGGGTCTGAATCCTCCTGGTAAATTTAGAAGGGAAATTCACCTCTGGAATGTGAAGAAGGTTGGAGCAATTGATGTGAAAGACAAGATGTGGAAGATACAGAAAAAAGAGGGAAAGAGTTTATGCTAGTATTTTTTTTAATTGTTTATGCATCTGCACATATTTATAGTATGTCAGGACAGCAATTCTCTGGCTTGGATGCAGGAACAGAATTCAAATAAACATTGTACTGAGCAGTCCCAAGTGTCAGGCATTGTAGTAGGACCTGGAGTCATAGGGATGAATGAGACACAGTTTCTATTCTTGAGAGAGAGGGAGACAAACACATAAACAGACTTTAAGGCCACCTGGTAAGGACTATAGTCTGTGGAGAGTGCAGACAGACTCAGGATAGGTTATCCAACCCAGCCTGGAGGAGACAACGTGAAAAAATCCAGAAAGACTTCCTGAGAAAGTGAGTTCTGAGAGGCATCCTGAAAGCGTCAGTCAGGTGAAGAAGGGTGGCCTAGGGGCATAAGTAAAGTGAGCAGAGGAGAAGACCAAAGAGGTGAGAGCACAGGACCCACACACCCAATACCAGGCCTGAGAGCCAAACACTGTGGACTGAATGGGAAACTGTTGTGTTTTATCATTAGTTTTAATTACAAAAGATATCACTTTTTTTTTGAGAGAGAGAGAGAGAGAGAGCAAGAGAGCGAGCACACGAAGGGGCAAGGGCAGAGGGAGAGAGAGAGAGAATCTTAAGCAGGCTCCAGGCCCAGTGCACAGCCTGACACAGACCCTTATCCCTGAACCCTGAGATCATGACCTGGGCTAAAATCAAAAGCTGGATGCTTAACTGACCAACCACCCAAATGCCCCCCAAAGATATCATTAACATATGTCTATAAACAGTCTAAAGAAACCAAAAGAAGTTTTCAGAGAGAAAGCAGTCTGCTTTCACTTCACTACCCGTCCCCCTCCACTCCTCACAGGAAAATCCCACTAGTAGCCAGGCAGGTTTCCTGGGTTTTCTTCTATGGGTGGTAAAATAATATTTTGGTATATTAATCAGTGTGGTTTTGTCCTCAATATTTGTTCTTGTTATTTCTGATGGCCTTTTTCTTTCTTTTTTTTTTTTAACTCTTGGGTTTTTTTTTTTTTTTTTTTTTTGCCTCCTTTGGTCATACTCCCCAAACACATACACCATTAAAGCAGGATAATGAGGCAAGAGCATTGCAGGAATCAAAAGGATACATGGTAAAAGCTGTAAATTCCAAAAACTTGAAATAAAAGTATCCTCAATTTCCAAATCTTGATGTGATGTATTCAAAACAAAGCCCTGAAATATCTGCAGCATAGAACAGTAGTTTGGAAATAGAACACACACAGAGGCCAACTTCTTTGCCACCACAGACTAGCTAGGAAGTGGAGTGATAGAAGGAACAGAATGTGACAAGGGGTCTGTGTGAGTCAGGATGAGGGCAGGACCTGAAGCAACCATATCCATACAAAAGGAGACTCCACCCTCCTCCTTGGGAGCAGCAGAGAGCTACCGGGAGCCAAGGCAATGACTGCAGAGGATCTAGCAACCAACCATTTGAGTATACAGAGCCAACAAACACTTTAGTTGTTCTTCTGGCTGTCCTCTGGCAAGGGCTTTCTATAAACAGCAGCCAGCTGGACAGCCATCAACTGTCCAGCAGATATGGTGGCTGTTCATGCCTTAGAACTTTGCCCTTTCCAAAGGTTCAGGCCATTTATAGACCTCCAAGATGGAGCCAGGATACCTAAGAGGTGGAGATGTGGTAAAGCAGTACCCACATCCATACTGGGCAGCCGGGGGAGAGCCAGCCCGAGAGCTCCTTACTCCCTGGCAGGGGCAACCACAGCCCAGTAGGCATTTGTACACAGGTGCAGATGACTCTGTAACACACATTGGTCATCCTATGTAGACTATTCCATGATTTAATAGTTTTAACTTTCAGCACCGGGAACAGTTCGGGCAAAGTAAGCCCTCTGTAACTATTTGATGAGTAATAGATAATATATGGGTGATCTTTCCTTGGAGAATGTACAGACTTCCATTACTCTTTTTAACTGGCTGCACAGCACCCTATGATATGATACAATCTACTTAACTATTTCCCCACCTAAGAATACTTCTGCAAGTGTACTGCTGTAGGTTAGATACAAAGTACAACTGCAGAGCCAAAGTACATACACATTTTGAAAGATACTGCCAAACTGTCCTCCAATAAGGATATACTGATTTACAGGCAGCAAAGGTAAATGATATAACAGCAAATGTTGACTTAGAGTTTATTGTACCTAAGGCAACTTCCCAAATATTTTGCGTGGGCTGCTTAGTTTATTCCTTAAAGCAGCCCTTTAAGACAGGTACTTTTGCCTTCTTTTTACATTTTCTTTAGAAATGGAAGCATAGACAAGTCAAACAACTTGACCAAAGTCGTGGATTAGTAAACGGGACTCCAGAGCGTGTGTCTTCCCCTACAGGAAGGGTGTCTGTTTTCCTACACCTTAAGTAATAATAGGAGATTATGCATTTCTGTCCATCTGTTAGGAGATAATGTGAGTGAACATACTGTATGAGCTCAAAAGGGGACACAAAGGATAAAAATTAGAAAGTTGATTCCATGCAGCTATTTCTCCAGTAGACCCAATTTTTAATATTTTTGTGACAAAACACAAAGTCTAATGTCCTTGCTGACAGGGTGAGAGTTATCAGTTAGGGATCTGAGTGGTAGACAGCAGAATCCACACAAGCTAGTTTCAACAGAGATGGATTTATTGTTTGTTATCTGGGTTTATAGAACTTCCAAGAGGGCCAGAATGAAGTTTGGCAGCCACATGGCCAGGAACAATACCACCAGGAGAAATACCCAACCACACTAGGATCCCAATGGACACCAAGGAACCTGATGGCTGCCATTGAGAGCATGGGACAGCAGACAGTTGTGTCAATGGCTCTTGAAAAATCACACAGGACACTAGATCCTGAGGAGCTGCCAGTTCCTCTTATCCATACCACCTTCTAAGTTTCCAGTAGAACCTACTTGCAAAAGAGCCTGAGATGGATTTTTAGCTTGCTAGACTCTGAGATATAATCCAGAAGGGTTTGGAGTAAGTCCTACACAAATGGCAGCTTCCATTACAAGCATACACACTTAGTCTCCCTAATGATTCAATAAAGTTTTGTCCTCTGTGAAAAGGGTGTGTGTGCGTAATGTGATCTAAAAATATCTTTATTTTTCCTGAATTTTCCCTCTTGCAATTTGTCCTAAACACGAGGGCAGTCTGAAAACCAGTGGCTCCAGCTGTAAAGAGAACCAAGAACAGAATTGGACCAGTAAAGATTTAGCATTCTCAGGGCAAGATCATTGATTACCTGTTCAGGCACCTGGGTGGCTCAGTTGGTTAAGTGTCTGCATTCAGCTCAGGTCATGATCCTGGGGTCCTGGGATCAAGCTCACATGGGGCTTTCTGCTCAGTGGGGATCCTGCTTCTCCCTCTCCTTCTATCCCTGCTCATGTGCTCACTCTCTATCTCAAATGAATAAAATCTTTTTAAAATTTGACCACCTGTTAATATAGATATAACAGTTAATATAGATATAAAAATAGATCACCTGTTAGTATAGATATATCAGTGCATCATCCCCCCAGACTTGACTTCTCTGCTCCTGAGAAGTGCACCCCCCACCACTCCTCCCGTCTGCATGCATGGCTACTATATAGGACCTTTCTTATTCATTTATCCTCCTTATGATTCTTCCACTTCATTTCCCCAACCCAATGTGACTGATCGAGGCTTGGGCACCTGACTCAAATTAAGACAATGGGCTCCTTTACTGGTAGTTTTGAATTTGTGTCTCAGTCTGTGAAGCCCAGAAGATATGAACCTGAAAAGCTGTTGGTAGCCTAGTGTCTTGCATGTAGTGGAAGCCAGTCTGCAGTGACAGAAATGCAGCCAACCCAAAGGAGGGAAGATAGTCGGAGTGAGTCCAGTAGGATTTGAGCTTTTGGTTTAAGTCATTCCTGAGACTCAACTGCATTACAATCTTCTTGTGACTTCCCATATCTGATCAAGTTTAAGATACCATCACTTAAAAGATGCATCACTTTGTTAGTAGGTATGTTATGTAAATACACTTGCAGTGAAACCATAATGTGCTATCAAGTGTGTTAGACTGATTTTATTGCAGGGATATTTTTAAAAATTGTAATGCAAGTCTTAGACCCAGTGAAATAGTTATTCAACTCCTTCTTGGAGTCTAAGCAAATTTAAGGTGGCTTCCTTGAGCATCGATCAATATAATATCAGTGAAGACAACGGAAAGATAGGTTCTGACCTGGGAACAGGATAATGTGGCAAAGACATGGCAGTAAGTATTTCTTTTCTTCTTCTTCGTCTTCTTCTTCTTCCTCTTCTTCTTCTTTAAGAGGGAGAGATAGACAGAGGGAGAGGAAGAGAGAATCTCAAGCAAGCTCCATGTCCAGCACAGAGCCTGACATGGGGCTTGATCTCAGGATCCTGAGATCATGACCTGATCTGAAATCAAGAATTGGATGCTTAATGGACCCAGGAGCCCTTGCAGTAAGTATTTCTTAAGGGAAAAATCATTTTATTCAAGAATTTTAAAGAGCATAAATTACCCTGAAAGTAATTGCGATTGCCAGTGTCTTCATATGCTCCTCCAGTGTTACTTAGGAGCACTGTAGTGACCCATCATTAGGTGAATGACTGGCAGTAAAAGTAGTTTCAAACAAGTCAACTGAGGTGCTTTCCTATAATTATTATTCACAAATAGAAATTTTGAATATTGGCTAATGTACATGAGCATATTCTCAAGCCAGAAGTTAGAAAGTCCCCAGAATCCACCCTCCTAATATAATTAAATTGCCCAGAATCCACCCTCCTAATATAATTAAATTGTTTTCTAACTAGTGAATGAATGACTCAAACTGAAGAAAGCTTTGAAACTCCACAAAGAAGCAAACTTTTCTTTGGTGAAACAATTTGAAAACTCAGATTTATCTTGGCAGTACACGTAAAGGGCCCTATCTGAAGGCTATGGAAATTTACAAACTATTTACAAATGGTTGTCCCACCAAAAAGAATTTTTGGAGCTAAATGAGAATTCATTCTTATAGACTGAACTGTCCTGTAGCCCACTTTTACTTTAAATTTGGCTGGTGGTATTGCTTCTGCCGTAGTGTGAGCTGTGAACTTCCACAGTCTGCCAGATGGCAGTGGGAAGCCCATTAGATATGCATCACACATCCTGATCAAAACTGAAAGAAATTATGCTCAGATTGAGGAGAGATGCTCGAGAGTAAGGCAATGATTAGAATTTTCTGTATTTTTACAGAAGATTTCACATAATCATTGTCCATAAATAAACTCATTCTTATGATCCTGCAGACCCAGATCTGGGATAACTTCCAAAGGAGCTCCTCTCGTGGTTGGGTCAAAACGTGCACGTTCCCATGATATTCATTAGAGAACGCCATAGAGCTGATGCCCTTTCAAGGTTATCTCAAAAAGTCTGAGAATCAGAGTGTAAGCTAATACATTAAATGCTGTGTCTTTCAGAGGCGGTCTGTTCTTTAATATGTACTGGAGAGGAAATAGAGGAATTCAGTTACAAAGGAAGCTTATTAGGATCTTTGAGAGAACAGGCTTGATGAAAATAAATGGGAAATGCAGTATATAAATATTGCCGATAGGAAAAGTCTAAGTAGTAGTTTGAAAGGGGCCGTGGGACCCAAACTGTATAAAATAACATTATCTGATTGTAAAGTTTATCATCTCTGAAATAAAATATAAGATTGTGTTTGCTGCTGAACAAAATCATGAGATCGTATCATAATCATACATTACCAGCTATCTGTGGAATAGAAGACATTTATATTAGGGCTGATTCTAATGCACTGTTGTGAGAAAAGATCTTCCTTTTTATTGCTTAAGGAGAGCCAATCACTGTAAATATGTCCATGGAAGCCAGTTCCCACTCTGCTTTGAATTGTCTTTTTGGCAAGGAGTAAACGAATACATTTTTCTAGTTCTCAGTTTCCCCATCTATAAAATAAAGGGGGAAAATGCTTGTCTTTCCTCATTCACTGGGATGCTGTGAAGAATAAAAGAAAGAGACATTTCAAAGGGAGAAAGCTCTATCTTGGATGAGGGGAAGAAAACAAATCTTTCTGCCCTATCCCCAAATTTTCTGAGAATACTGGACTACACCAATAGACACTCACTGAGCATCTGTTATGACCCTAACAACCCTTAGAAATCCAAAATTGGCTCTGAGGGAATCTTGGAAGACCACAAACATGCAGCTGTGGTAGTAGAAGCAGGGAACATAGTGCTGGCACCTAAGATGAAAATGGCCCTCGAGGTGTAAGGGATATAGGGTGTAGACTCCCTGTTCTCATAGAGCATCCAGTCCGGTGCCCTTGAGTTATAGTTTCCAACCTGCCTCTGCATCTCCCAAAACACCCAGATCCGCCTCTCTCCAGGTATAAAGAATTGGAGCATCTGGAATAAAGAAGGCAGACTTGGATGACATCACTGGACTTCCCATTTGAACTTGCATTCAAGTGTGGCTCTGCCATTATTTATGTTCAGCAAGATGTTGTTTGAAGAGAGAATTTAACATCTAGAACAACAAAACAAAACAACCCTTTGATTTAAAAAACCATGGGTCTAACGGGTTTCCTCATAAGCAGGAAATTGTTTCCAGAGTTTCTTCCGTTCCTTCAACAAATATTTATTGTATGCCAGTCATGGCGCTAGGGTCTCGGAAGGGTCTACACCCATTTCCAGTGTAGGGGGAGAAGGGGCTCAGTCCAATAAGGCTGCCCCCTCCCCACCCCCGCTTCAGATGCCTCTCTCTCTATATATATATATTTTAAGATTTTATTTATTTATTCATGAGAGACACAGAGAGAAAGGCAGGGACACAGGCAGAGGGAGAGGCAGGCTCTGTGCAAGGAGCGCAATGCAGGATTCAATCCCGGACCGGCGGGATCACGACCTGAGCCGAAGGCAGACACTCAACCGCCGAGCCACCCAGGTGTCTCAGATGCCCCTTTATAAACCCAGGTTGTCACCTGAACTTCTGACCAACCAACTTATACATTTGAAGTTCCAACAACTTCCCCCTTGAATTTCATTCATTTGCTAGAGTGGCTCACAAAACTTACTAGAATACTGGTTTAGTATCAAAGGCTATAGCCCAGGAAGAGCCAAATGGGAGAGATGTGTATGGCAGGGTGTGGGGAAAGGGTGCAAAGCTTCCAGGCCCTGCCAGGCCCCCTCTTCTCCCCAAATCTCCACGTGCCCACCAACCTGGAAGCTCTCTGAACCCCATCCTTTTGAGTTTTTCTGGATACTTCATTACTTAGTCACGATTGATTAAATCATTGACCACTGGTGGCTGATTCAACCTCCAGGCCCTCTCACCACCCTGAGGTCAAGGGGTAGGATGGAATAGGAGCTCTGTGCCAGAAATGGGACATAGACCAAATACACATTTCTTGTCATAAATCACAATATCACAGGTCTCGGCTGTGAAAAGGACAAAGTCCCAGCTCTGATGAAGCTATCATCAACATAAACTGAACATCCAGATTTTGTTTTTCTAGGTTTTATTCTTTAACTGAACCAGATGTTTCTCCCATAATTCTACACATTCTTTCTTACTCCACCCCCTCTCCGCCACCCTTTTTTCCCTCCAGAAAGTCATTTCTATTTATTTGCAAACACAGATTTTAACATTTGCTCATCTGAAGTATATTAGTCCCTACATAGCTCTGCCATTGGTTCTGAACCAGGCAGGGCATAAAACAAGTACGTCTGGATAACATGTGCTTCTTCCCAGGCTTTATTTCCTTCTGTTTTATATTCGACATGACATGTCAGAAAAATATCTTGGAGCAGAATGTTTATATGTACATACCTTGGGTAGATTTGATTTGATGGGCCGTGTAGACATAATCAATCAATTGACAAATATTTCTGTAGACATTCCTTGGACGTATAAAACAAGGCCCTCATTCTCAAGAAACATATCAAGCTTCCTGTGAGGGGTATCTCTGTAAGGATAACAGAGGCCTACCCTCTCCCTGCAGTCATCTGAAAGGAGAAGGAAGGAGTTTAAAAGTGACAGACAAGTTATCTCCTCTTGTAGTCCACAGCCAAAATGATGACTACCTCAGCGTGAACACCTTCACGTTTTCTGTGTGTGTGTGTGTGTGTGTGTGTTGCAAGAACAGAACTGGTGGGGTGGGTTTATCCTAAAGGGATAAACTTTTCACTGATCCTGGTGGATAACTTACCAGCTTTGGGCAGGATGAAAAAGGTTAGCTCTAGATAAAACCAACTAAAGGGAAGGTGGTCCTCTGAGTTCTTTTCTCCTTTGTTCTTCTCGCTCCTTCTCAGCTGGGCTTGCTCATTAGCACCAACTCTCATCTTTCTGCTCCTAGAACACTGTTACTCAGGGCTACACCATGTGTCCTGCCTCCTCACTAGGGTATGAAGGTAGTATTTGTACCCAACCCCACTTCCATTCATCAATAGGGTGACTCCAACTGCTCCTTGGCAGGTGGATCTTCATTCTTACTTGCTCCAGAACATCACTCCTAAAGCTGGCTCACCCAAGGGAGAAGATGGCCTTCCCAGATAGCAAAGGATCACTGTCCAAATAAGAATGTTGTCCAGGTAAGACTGTCATCCATCTAAGGACATGATCCACATATGAGCATCATCCATATAAGGAGCCCACCGGTCTTTCCAACAACACTCCATGCTTTTGGTGCTTTCTCCGCCACCAAATTGAGTCTCTCCAATCCAGATTCTTTGACATTGCTGGTAACTTTTAGCAGATCATGTAAATTATTCCATACTAACCACCCAATGGACAAGAGCCATGGAAAATCTAAACACTCATCTTTTGCTTCTCTCAGGTGTCTGAATTATTGCAATCTCTAAAGACAATCCCCCCACCTTTGTTCTCTAGACCAATGAAATGACTCTAAGGGAAAGAATTTTAAATCAGGTAGTAAGGATGGAAAATATATTAAAACTAGAAGAACCTTCACCTTATATTATTACATACAGGTCATCACCAGCACAGAATTAGCTCAATGGAAAAAATTCAGTGACCTTCTCGCAAGCCCTCTTTTGCACGAAGAGAAAAAAAATTAATATATACTTCAAGTAGCATTCATGTTTTATAAATTTTCTGCTGTATTTTAAGTTGAAAAGGCTCTCATACAACAATAACGTGTATTTCTTTATGTTTCCAACAAAATAACCTCAGAGTTAAAAAAATTATAATAAGATATTGAGGAAAATAACCTCAGGGATTAAATATTGACTGCTCTCGAGACAAGAGCACATTATTTTTCTTTGACCTCTTATATCTTCATTGAGTAACTGAAAGATAAAAATCATATTTCTGGCATTTTACGAGCTTTTATTTTGTTTTGAGCAACTTAAGATATAAACAGAAAATGTCATCCTGACCAAAAGAATATGATCACTTTTTATGAATAAGTTGTTAGCAAGGGCTTTCACCGCTGTTACGTAGAATTCACCTGGTGTACTGGTATCTAGGGCTGCTGGAACTGCAGCCTAAAAACAATCGAAATTCAAATTGTCTCATAGTTCTGGAGGATGAAGACTGAAATCAAGATGTTGGGACCATGCTCTTTCTTAAAATTATAGGGAAATCTTACATTGTCTCTTCTACCTTCTGGCAGTCTGCTGGCAATCTTCAGCACTCCTTGGCTTGTAGCTACACACTCCAATCTCTGCTTTCATCATCAGATGACATTTTCCTTGTGTCTCTGTGTCTTCATGTGGCCATCCTCTTAAAAAGACACCAGTCATATTAGATGGGCTCACTCTACTCCTGTATGACCTCATTTAACTACTTATATCTGCAATGACCCTATTTACAAATGGAGTCATATTCAGACATGTTAGGGGTTAGAACTTCAATGTATATTTTATAGGGGGACATACTTCAACCCATAACATTTGGGATTTGCAATTTTATTTGAGAGTGACTTGGACACCAGGTATTGCTCTCTGGAGAAGCTGGTTACTCAGGTTAAACCTGGGTTCTACTTTCACAGCTGTGTCTATAGGCCACAGGGATCCCCTTTACAGTGTCATGGGTTGTAGAAGAATCACTGAATCAAGACTATGAACATCTGAGTCAGAAATTCAGCTTTGTCATCTAGCACATATGACACTTTGACATTATAAATCCGTCATCCTCTGTGTTAGAGAGGGTAAAAATACCTATGTTCTTCAGAAGGTTAAAAACCTCTATGTATTACAGAGGGTAGAAGCACCTCTCCTTGCTGTTGATTGTGAATATATATGTATCCTTTAAATTTTAAACAAGTATGTCTCCATATATTACTTGTAAATTTAAAATATTATAATGTAAAAGTATAAGGCTTTAGAATCTGTAAAGCACTCACCAATTAAGATATTTTTATATTTGATAAATCATACCCCTTGTCTTAAAAGTATTAATATTCCTTCCAAAGCGCCTACCATTCACCTTGGATTTCACTTGTACAAATAAATGGCACTTGAGGCAATTGTACACAGCACAGCAGCAGTTTCACATCCGACCTTTTTCTTTTCTTCCTCTTGGCTTCCACTTTTTGCATTTGCTCTTCTTTTACTTTTCCTGTTTGTTTGCCTTAGCACTTGTTCTCTACCCAAGGGCATTCCAAAGACCACACAGGGTGCTCTAATGCACCTGTTCACCCCTGACATTAGGTTCTAGGTATGTGTGTGTGTGTGTGCACATATACCATACAAGAACAGAACTAGTGAGTACCCAGAGGGGTAAACTTTCACTTTTCCTCATGGATATCCCTCCAGTTTGGAACAGGATGAAAGTAAGGTCAACTGTAGGCATTACTAGATTAAGGGAAAGGTGGCCCTATTAAAAGCAAAGATGTAAAAAAAGACTTACCGGACAGGCCTGGATCACATTCCCGCCCCCAGAGTAGAGGTAAAAGGGCTCAGCTTCAACTAAATCACATGGTCCCTGGCAGTAGGGAATAGGGGTCAGCAAGCAAAAGCAGCAGATGCTTTCTGTATATCAAGTGTGTCACAACCATGTAAATCCATATACATCTATTTCTCCAGTAAACATTTACTAAGTAAGTACAGTGTACTAACTACCAAAAGACAAAGTTAATGGAAGAAAAAATATCCACTGTCAAAATGTTCACAGTTGGAAGAGAAAAAAGAAAGAAAATAAGAAATCAATAGATTATCATTTTAAGTCACATGCCAGGAAAAGAGGTGACACTCAACCTGCCTGGGTTGTCTGGTCTCATTCACTATAATGTTTCACTTGATTAGAGGTTGGCCAACTTCTTCTGTGAAGGGCCAGATAAATATTTTCAACTTTGTGGATTAAATTATGTTGCAACTACTCAGCTCTGCCCTTGGAACCCGAAAGAAGCCATAGACAATATGTAAATAGATGGGCTTGTCTATGCTCTAATAAAACTTTATTAACAAAAACCAAGCTTTGAATTCCATTTTTTTTGAATTCCATTTTTAATGTGTCATGGGATATATATTCTTCTTATAATTTTTTTCAACCATTCAAAAATATAAAAAGTTAAAAATCATTCTTTGCTTGCAGGGTGTATAAAAACAGACTATGGCCAGATTTGAGATGAAGCCATGGTTCACTGACCTAGATTATCGCCCTAGTGCTGTCTCCAATACATTCCCCATACTGTAGCCAGAAGAGTCCTTCTTAGATCGGATCTCATCATGTCACACATTGTCTCAATGACTTCTCATTCCCCTCAGGATGAACTCCAAATGTCTTGATACTGGCTTATAAGGTCTTCCACAATCCCCTGCTGGACTACCTCTGTTTCCATCAAGAAGCCATGCATTCATGTTCTCTGCTCCCATTCTATATATCCTAAATAATTCCTCCTCATTCCTCTATTCCCTCCTCCACAAAGCTTTCCTTAAATTCACCTCCCCTAGGCCCAGGTGAGGTGTCCTTCTGCAGTGTTTTGATAGCACCATGCATTGCCTCACATAACAGACTTATTATGTATTATTATTATATATAATTTTAACCATATCATTATTATTATTCCCTATTTGCTAGCCTCTATCTTCAAGCCTTGAAGAAAACACCTTTAAGTCTATCTGTTTCTCACTTACAGCCGCAGTTTCTAAATTGGAGTCTGGCACAAAGTAGATGCTGGACAAACATTTATTGAAGGAAAAATCCTGGATCTGAGGAAGCGAGGCAGAGGAGGTGTTCCCTGAGCTAAGTCTTACAAAATGAATAACAGTGTATAATTTTGACAGAAAGGGATAGGCATTTCCAAGCAGCTGTAGCTGTTATGGAAGTGGGAGAGAGCATTTGAGGGACTCCAGGTAGTTTGGTATGGCTGGAGTGCTTGGTGCGAAAATAATGTGAAGTGAGACTAGAGAGAGAACCTGAGAACTTGTATGCTAAGATAAGAAATTCAGTCTTGGGCAGCCCAGGTGGCTCAGTGGATTAGCGCCGCCTTCAGCCCAGGGTGTGATCCTGGAGACCCGGGATCGAGTCCCACATCGGGCTCCCTGCATGGAGCCTGCTTCTCCCTCTGCCTGTGTCTCTGCCTCTCTCTCCCTCTCTCCTCTCTGTGTATTCTTATGAATAAATAAATAAAATCTTTTAAAAAAAAGAAATTCAGTCTTACTTAATTCCTCAGGTAATGGGGAGCCTTGGAAAGACAAAGTTTTTTGGACTGACCTTTTAGAAACTTCACTTAGATCTCATTGCCCATGTAGATAGTCCAGATCCAATTAAAGTGTCTGAGATAAAGTAGACAAGATCATCTTGGCAGGAGAATTGACTGGAATTTGATGCCAATTTCACATTAGGAAATAAATTTGTAGTCTGCAGCAAGAGTTCACAAAAGAAGTAAAGACCACACGAATTGAGGATAGGTTAGTGGAAACACAGAGGAAGTTTCATACTTGAAATTCAGAAAAAAAATGGCCAGATTGGAAATAGAGGATTAGGAAAAGCCACAGCCTGTAAGTATACGCTATCTGACTCACTAGCCTATGCATGGCTATTTAAATTTGAATTTAGGGGAATCTGGGTGGCTCAGCTGGTTAAGTGCCTGACTCTTGATCTCAGCTCAGGTCTTGATCTCAGGGTTGTGAGTTCAAGCTCCACTTTAAGCTCTACTTCAAAAATAACAATAATAAGTAAAAATAAATAAAAAATAAAAATAAATTTGAATTTAAGTTAATGAAGTGAATGAAAGAGTTCAAAAGTTAATTTCCAGCTATAAAACAAACAAGTCATGGGGCTGCAATGTACAGCACACTGACTGTAATTAACAATACTGTGTTGCAGAACAAATAAATAAATCTTAAAAAGCCAATTAATTCATCACAGTAGCTACACTTCATGTGACCATTAGCCACATGTAGCTAATGGCTATATATCTGGCAGTACAGAATTACAGAAATTTCCAACATTGCAGAAGGTTTTTTTTTTTTTTAAGATTTTATTCATTTATTCATGAGAGACACCCAGAGAGAGGCAGAGGGAGAAGCAGGCTCCTCGCAGGGAACCTTATGCCGGACTCGATCCTCAGACCTGGGACCACGCCCCCAGCCAAAGGCAGAGGCTCAACTGCTGAGCCATCCAGGTGTCCCAGCAGAAGGTTCTATTGGACAACACCATCTAGTCTGAAACTGAAATTACAGTTAAAGTCAAGACTGTCCAGGAAGCCCCCCCAAAGAGTTAAACATAGAATGACCATAGGACTCAGAAATTCCACTACTAGGTATGTACCCCAAAGAACTGAAAACGGGGACCTGTACAGATATTTGTAGACTAACATCATGGCAACATTATTTAACATATCTAAAAGGTGGAAGCCACCCAAGAGTCTACTTGGATCGATGATAAAGATCCACTTGGATAGATGATTGGATAAACAAAATGTGGTATATACATCGAATGGAATATTACTTGGCCTATGAAAAGGAATGAAATTTTGATATCTCTTACAACACGGATGGGCTTTGAAAACATTGTGCTAAGTGAAATAAGCCACACAAAGGACAAATATTATACAATTCCACTTATATGGGGTACCTAGAGTAGGCAAATTGACAAAGACTGGTGATTACCAGGGACTAGGGGATGTGGAGGGTGGGCAGGTATTATTTAACGGGTACAGAATTTCTGTTGGGGATAATTTAAAATTTTTGGGTATAGATAGTGGCGATGGTTACAAAACATTGTATGTATTTGATGCCACTGAACTGTACACTTACAAGTGATTAAAACAATAATTATTATGTTGTGCATATTTTACTATAATAATTATAAAAAATTATTGTCCAGGGAAAATATATTGAACAGGAGGAAGAGAAGGTTGAAGAAATTTTTGAGATAATAAAGTAGAAAAGGAAGCCATCAAGGAATTCTGGAAAGTCAGGAGGGTACAATGGGAAACTAGAGGAATGCTGTCAAAAAAAAAACCAAGGTGGAGGAGAAAAAGTCATTACCCACAGACCCATTTGTGATGTGCTGCCAACAACACTCCCTATTTAAAACCCACAAGAAAGAGGTACAACCGGACTACCAAGTGTGGAAAGGTAGCTTGTGTTCTTCTGCTTCCTCCTATTCTAGATCCATTGGAGTCACTGCCTAAGCAAAAGTAAGTAACTCGACTCCAGTTCTCTTCCTCAGTTTGCTTTTTCAAGTTCTATCTGATAACCTGGCAAGTAAACAGCTCATAATTTTCCTTCCCCTCCATGCTTATGGAAATGTGTGGCTGTAAGGCATGATTTTCGTGACAGTCCAATGTGGTGGATTCAAAATCAATTTGATTAAAAGGCAAGGTAAGGATATTTACCCAAAGAATAACAAATAAATCTAGTTCAAAGTGACACATGCACCCGTTTATAGCAGCATTTATAGCATACAATAGCCAAACTATGGAAGCAGCCCAAGTAGTCCACTGATATATGAATGGATAAAAAGGATGTGGTATAGGGGCGTCTGGGTGGCTCTGTCAGTTTAGCGTCCAGCTCTTGATTTTGGCTTAGGTCATGATCTCAGGGCTGAGAGATGGAGCCAGTGTCGGGCTCCACTCTCACAGGGAGTCGGCTTCTCTCCCTCTGTCTTTCCCCGTGCTCATCCCCTCTCTCACTCTCTCTCAAAAATAAATAAATAAATAAATCCTTTGATGTGGTACATATATAAGTGGAATATTATTCGGCCATAAAAAAGAATGAAATTTTGCCTTTTGTAACAACTTGGATGAATCTAGAGAATATAATGCTACGCAAAGTTGGTCAGAAAAAGACAAATACCCTCTGATTTCACCCTGATGTGGAATTTAAGAAACAAAACACATGAGCAAAGAGGAAATAAAGAGAGAGACAAATCAAGTAACACTCTTAATCATAGAGAACAGACTGGTGGTTACCAGAGGGGCGGGGGATGGGTGAAATAGCCGATGGGGATTGTTGAATCACTATATTGTACACCTGAAACTAATATAACACTGTATGTTAACTAAAATTAAAACATGAATATTAAAACAAATTTAAAAACAAAAAAGGAAAAGTAAATCCAAAGGTGGTGAGGAGCAGCACTATTCTTCAATCTCTCCCTACCTCTGAATGAAAATAGAAAGGACACCTAGATAGGAAAACCAGAAACCCACGAGGCAATATTTCTGACAAAATTTGGTGACAGAGTAACTCCACGAGTCCCAAAATACAAATGAGAGGGAACAGCCCAACTGCCAAAACAGCTGCCATAAGATATCGGCACCTGTGTCTGAGAAAGAAGGAAAGAACCCAGTAGCACCCGTTGGACCTATGAACAGGAGAACTGCCAAAGAGCCAGCAGAGCTTCACAGGGCTGTGAGCAGGGTGATGTGGGAATGGCAGCTGAAACCGTGGGACGTTCTACCCTCCAAAAGCAGGTGAGGGCAAGGACAGTGGTAGGATGGTCTGCAGGGTCGGAAACAATCTAGCCTCTGCCTCTCAAAACCCTCGGGGCTCCATTTTAAGAAGGGGAGACACCAAGCAGGAAGTGCTGGGAGGGAATCAAAACCGACCAGGACAGTCAGTTGAGCATTCAACTCTTAATGCTCAGATCATGATCTCAGGGTTGTGAGATCAAGCCCCAAGTCAGGCTCTACACAGGGCATGGAGACTACTTAACATTCTCTCTCTCTCTCTCCCTCTCCCACTCTCACCCTGCTTGCCTGCTCTCTCTCTAAACCAAAAACCAAAAGCTGACCAGGAGAGGGACAAGGTAAAAGGAAATGGAAGGTCTACACTAAAGTAGGGGTGGAGGGGATGTAACAAGGAAACCTCCGAAAGTAAGCCTGCACCCTCATGACAACAATGTAAGATGGAGCTCCTGAAGACAGACAAGATTATCTGAACCCTCCTCACTCTTCAAGTCCAAGAAGACAAATTTCACATACAGAAAAGTATTGACAACAAATACTGTGGGAAAAAGAAAATAAGGAGCATGAATGATTGCCAAGATCACAGGACAAGGGACAGAATGGCATTGTATGCCTCAGATTTGCCAAAGGAACCAAACTTGAGTCTGGTCCATACTGTGCGTCCAGCTGCAAAATCTGCAGGAAATGCAGAAGACAGAGCAACAGGGTCAAGGGCACCATAGTGTGCATTCTGCTAAATTTAGGCCATGAGGATCAATGCCCCAAATTCTTTGAATGAGTTCCTGGAGCTGCTATAATGAATGGCCACAAACAAGGTAGCTTAAAACAACAGAAATTTATTCTCTCCCAGTTCTGGAGGCCAGAAGTCTGAAATCAAGATGGCAGTAGGGATGTTTCCTCCATGGAGCTGCTCCATGTCTGTCTCGCAGCTTCCGGTAACTGGCAATCCTTGGTGTGCCTTGGCTTGTGGACACAACACTTCATTCTCCGCCTCTCCGCCTCTGCTCTCATACCTCCTCTACGTTTTCTTCTCTTCTGTTGTAAAAATAACTGACATTAGATTTAGGACTCATCCTAATCCAAGGTCATTGCATCTTAATTATTCTGCAAAGACCATTTTTTCTAAATAAGGTCAAAAGTCAAAATCAAAGTTTTAGTGGGCATATCTTGTGGGGGCAGCCACCATTCAACCTACTATACACGTCGAGATAAATCGTGAGGAAAATAAAAGGATAGACCAGGAACTATAGATTAAAAGAAACTTAAAAGGCGTATCAATATTTTTTTAAATGGGCAAGATGAAACTATAGTTTATAAAGATGCATATTTAGGTCATGATACTTTAAAAAAATACAGAGAAGAGAAGACTAAAAATATGAGGCTAATGGTTACTTTTGGTGGGAGGCAAGGGGCTGTGATCAGGATGGAGTATACAAGAAAGGGACTTCCAGTCAATGTCATAGTTGCCTAAGAAGCCAATTTATAGGGCAGAGATTGCTAGATCACGGATGGATGCCCATGGATGTTTCTGGAAGTGTGTTCTGCAGATGGCCTGCACCACAATTACTCTGTTTATAATAAGGCACACTCCTGGACTCTAATCGGAGATACAGATTCAGTAGATGTGATTGAGAGCTATGCTCTATGCCAGAAGTTCATCCCAGATTTATTTAAAAATGCAGGAGCTTTAGGGGCGTCTGGGGGGCACAGTCCATTAAGCATCTCATCTCAGGTTATGACCTCCTGGTTGTGGGACAGAGACTGCAGTCGGGCTCTACACTCAGTGCAGTCTGCTTCTGATTCTTTCTCCCTCTTCCTCTGCCCCTTCCCACTCTCACTCTGTCTCTCAAATGAATAAATAAAATCTTAAATAAAAAAGTAAATAAATAAATACACAAGACCTCTATTCAAACAGTATCTTCCTGGACAAAGACCTGAAGACAAGAAACTCTATACTGGTATCTAAACCATAATCTATAATAACTAGAATGGTCAAGTTTCTAGAATAAGCACCTAGAAATTTTGTTAGTAGTGTGTGATGTGGTAATGGCTTAAGGACATGATCTTCCTAACCAGAAAGATAAAACAGAGAATGTTACCTCTCTATGGGCGACTAACTGAATTGCACTACAAACGCCTTAAACTCTTAAACGAGTCTTCTCCAGGCCCTAAAACTTTAAAGCTATGTACTCAAAGTCCAATGTGGCAACCAGATTCGACTGAAATGAAATTAGAGGCACAATTTAAACGTTAGCTGTTTCAAAGACTTTCTGGGCTTACGAGCAGTTTCTTCAGCTTCCCGAACCTATGATTTTTTTTTTTTGTCTGATGATTTAATATTGAATTGCCACAAAACTGTTGAGCAGTATTGTTTCTTGGGAATCACTTATATATCGATCTTATGGGTGTTGGCAAAATTGTATTTTGAAATTGAAAACGAAGACTTTTAGAGAAGATTATAACTTCCAGCTTCATATATATGTATTACATATGTGTGTGTGAGTGTGTGTGTACGTGAGTGAATAGGAATTCAGAGCTTGTTATGTTAACTTGCAGGATGAGAAGGGGCAAGAGGATGAGAAACAAGAGAATCAAGGCATTTAGGCACAGGAGTGGCAAACTCCAGCTGTAGCTAGAATAGAAAGTAATGGGAAGAAATCCAAAGTCACACAGCTGACTCCAGCTCTCAATATCTAGTGCTGGAAGAAATTACCTGGAGGGACTTGTTATATAAGATTCTTGGGCCCTGCCTCAAAGGATTCCGACTCATTAAATGGTTTGGGGGGGAGCTCAGGAATCTGCATTTTTACGAACTTCTTAGGCAAGTCTGCAACAAGTCATACTTTGAAAAGTCCTCCACAGGGGCTCTGGCACAGGCTGACAATTAGTGTCACTGGCGTCCGGCAAGGAATAGTATCTTGGCAGCAGTACAAGACAAGGTGAGTAGCAGTTAAGAGGTGTGAGATTCGGGCAGGCAAGCTAGCAGACCGAATTCATTCCCCAGGGCTGCCATAATAAATTGCCACAAACTGGGTAGCTCAAAACAACAGAAATTTATTCCATCACAGTGTAGAGGCCAGAAGTCCTAAACCTAGGTGTTGGCAGTGCTCTGTTTCCTCCGGAGTAAAGCCTATGGAAGATTCTACTCCTTGTCTCTTATGGCTTCTGGTGGCTGTTGGCATTTCTTGACTTTCGGCTGCTCATTCCAACCTCTGCCTCCATCCTCACAAAGCCTCTCCTCCTCTGTGTCCTTCCTTTAGGTGTCTTCTATAAGGATACTCGTCCTTAGCATTTAAGGCTCACCCAGGTAACTCTAGAATGATCTTGAGATTCTCAACTTAATTACATCTGGAAAGATCCTTTTTCCAAATAAGTTCACAATATAGGTTTCTAGTGATAAGGATGAAGACATGTTTTTGAGGGGCCACCATTCAACCAATTACACAGGCCAATTTTAACAACTAGTTGCCTGGGCCGCTGTCAAAGCAAGATTTGAACGGGGGTGGTGATTGGCAAGGGCAGTGCCAGTCTAGTGTTAGATCAGTCTAACCTTCAAGGAAAGGTCAGGGAGGCTCAGACTTAGGAACCTGCCAGAAGCCACGAACAGATGAGGTGGGAGTGGGATGAGGAGCAGAGCTGACTTTATTTTATTACCCTGAATTTCTGAGTCAGGATTCTATAATCCCTACTAACCAGGTCATGACTGTGCTCCTACACTGGGACAAAGCTAAGCTGCCACAGCAAGTGGACATCCAGGGGTAATAGGAAGATTTGAGGCTGCGAGTCAGATTGGACTACACAGAGCTACAAAGCGCAATCACGCAAATAAATAGAATCATAAACAGCTACCACTTATTGAGCACCTGCTATGCTATTTGCCTGGCACTTTACATTTATTATTGCCTCTTCTCATCATGACCCTGTAATATGGGCACTGCAATAGGAGTTCCCACTGGACATATGAGAAAAGAGGGCTTTTAAAGATTAAAGTTGTATAACTAGTGAGTGGCTCCAAAGCCCATTATCCTTCTCCTGAAACATGCTGCCTCTCCACAAATCAATCAATAGCCTACCTCAAATTTTAGCATCTTATTTTATGTCACTGCACATGTCAAAACATTTGTCTTCTACCAGGTACCCTACGTTAAAAATATAACGTGGCTAAAGGAGAATAAGTAGTTCAAAGCTTTCTAAACCAGATTCACAGGTGGGGATCTGGATTGTGAACACTTGCTCCTTTGTGACTGTCATATTTATCTTAATGTAATCACTTGTGGGGAGCTCTAGCGGGGATTTTTGTACACAGTTTCAAATCCCGGGCTTGTCTCTAATCTTAATAATGCAGGTCTGTCACCTCTTCCCCCCCCCGCCCCCCTCAATCCTCACTACCACCATCACAAGCATGCTGTCAATGAAGTTCTATGGGTGGTGATGACCAAATAGTTAAAGTACTAGGTTTCTCAGTAGCGCCCAGGGTGGAAAACAGCATCGATAGAACAAGATCAAGGAAACTGCTGATACATTATGCCTCTAGTCCAACAAGAATTGATGCCCTCGGAGTATCACCTAATCTGCCCTAAAGATAGTGTCAGATTTATGGTAGAGTGCCAATAAATGTGTGGGTACTAGGCCATGTGTCCTCAACCACCTTGCATGCAAGACCAAAACTTTCCTGAGCCTGGCGCAAGGTTTAACAGGACTTTTATCTCATCCTGTTTCAGACTAGGTAACAGGGCTGAAGCATTAACGAATCTGAGCCTCAGGCCTTTCATAATACTGACTATGTGAGTTCGGAGAAATTATTATCAATAACAACAGTAATAACGTTCTGCATAAGGGCAAGAAGAATCCCAACCCTCATCAACCCCGTGAACACCAGCTTAGCGGCTAGTGTGTACAATTCTCGGTGACTGGAATTGCGAATGACACCTGACATGTATACCTTTCGCCACATTCCTGCTTTTTCCTTTTTCTGTTCAGGCTCACAGAAGCAATCTTCACTTTTAAGACCCATGAACAGCTGCACCAGTACAGAAGTCAAGGGGGCCCCTGGGTGGCTCAGTGGTTGAGCATCTGCTTTGGCTCAGGTCGTGATCCCCGGGTCCTGGGATAGAATCCCACATGAGCTCCCCATAGGGAGCCTGCTTCTCCCTCTGCCTGTGTCTCTGCCTCTCTCTCTCTCTCTCCCTGTGTCTCTCATGAATAAATACAATATTTTTTTAAAAAAAAATACAGAAGTCAATTTCACCATCATTTAACAGACTTCTGGTGACAATTTCTAGTTTACTTTAAAAAAAAAAAAGTCGTTTAAAGGGTTTTGGAATGGATCTGGATCCTTGCGCTTGCTTTCAAGTCCGAGAACTTGGTAGGAAACCGAAATTGCAAAGCGCTGGTGCCTGGGCGTACGGCGCTTGCGGGGAGCAAGACGTCATCGTGGGAAGCGAGTACTTCTTGGGATTACTGCTTGGCGGATTAGAAACCCGCAGATCAGTCCTAGATGAGCCCTAATTAACTGCCCTGGGTGCTTCTGGGCCAGTGGTGGGCGGGGCGGGGCGGGGAGGGGGGAGGGGGGAGTGGGGTTGTGGGGTGGGGTGGCTTGTCGGCTGGACTCAAACCAATACTCGCGGTAAGCTTTCGCTCCAAACGTTCCAGAGTTAATTTTTTACCTGAACGCAATCCTGGCTAATAATGAAGCTGCCGGGAATGATCTGGAACGCTAACTAAAGTGGGGCCCGCAGTCACGACAGGCGAACCTTCTGCCCCCACGGTCCCGCCGGCCCACATGCTTCTGTCTATCAGCCTGGGCCTCGGGATCAGCTCTCGCCGCCGCATTGGTTGGATTTCAGGAAAAGAGAAACCCCACGATTTAAAGGGCTCAGTCCCACCTGCCAGGCATGGTCCGCATGGTCCAACTTGCCTTTGGAACATTATGTGGCAGAATCTCCAGCTGGTGTGCATCTATCACACTGGCTGGCCAAAGGAAGGAGAGTTCCCGCAAGTGTCCCCTTGGTCACCTTGACAATTTCTGAAAGCGAAACTTGCGCTCGGGACTAGATGCGCACTGAGTCTGCGGGGCGCGGAGCGCCTGCCCAGGTCAGCAGCGCCCGCCCCGCGCGCGGGCGGGGACCGGGCGGGGCCTGGACGAGGCGTGGCTTTCCGTGGGAGAGAAGGAAGGGCTTTGCCCCGCCTCCCCCCAGAAAAAAAAAAAATCCTGCTCCCGCCCAGCCAATCAAGGAGGCCTATGCAAATGGAGCCCCTGTCGCCCCGGTAACCGTGATGCACGGTAGCCAATGGAAGCCAGCAGGCCGCGGCCCCGCGCCGCGATTGGGCCTTAAGCAGGGAGCCAGAGGCCCAATGGGCTGCGGGAACGGTCCTCGGCGGGTTGAGGGGCGGGGACATGCAAATATGGTTTGAAAAGCCGGCGGGAAATCTGAGTTTCGCGGGAGGACCTTGGCGCGTAAACCGTATCCCTTCATTCATTGTCAGCAGCAGCTTCCTGGAGCCATTTTTCAGCTGCCGGCCGCAGCACCCGGGCTGCCGCCGCCGCCTCGCAATCCGTTGCATCGGCCGCCCCCGACGCCTCCATCCCCCCTCGGGGCCCGGTATCCGTGCGGCCGGGACCCTCCTCTCTCCAGAGCCCCGATTATTTTTGGCCCCCGGGGCCCGTGCGGTGCGGAAAAATAAAAAGGAAAGAGAGAGAAGGGGCTCGGAAGCGCCGGGCGGGGAGGCGAGAAGGAGGACAGACTTGGAAACTCCGACTGCAAATAATAAAAGAAATTGAAAACAAAACGTTAATATACCGTAGCAATAAAAAGAGCAGGAGCGAGAGATGAGAAAGGGGATCCAGCCCGCCCTGGAGCAGTACCTGGTGACCGCCGGGGGTGGGGAGGGGGCGGCTGTCGTCGCCGCCGCCGCCGCTGCAGCCTCCATGGACAAAAGGGCACTGCTAGCCAGCCCCGGCTTCCCCGCCGCCGCCGCCGCCGCCGCCGCCGCCGCCGCCGCCCCGGGCGCGTACATCCAGATCCTCACCACGAACACTTCCACCACCTCCTGTTCCTCCTCCCTCCAAAGCGGCGCCGTCGCCGCCGGCCCCCTCCTCCCCAGCGCCCCCGGCGCGGAGCCGACGGCCGGCAGCCTCCTCTACACCACGCCGCACGGACCCTCGGGCAGAGCCGGGCTGCAGCAGCCTCCAGCGCTGGGACGCGGCGGCGGCGGCGGCGGCGGCGGCCCTCCGGTAATGCCCTCCGCTCCCCGGCCCGGGCGGGAGGGGGGCTCGCGCCGCGCGGGGTGGTGGGGCCGCGCGTCTCGGGCCTCGCCGGCTGCCCTGCGCCACGGCTTCATTGTTAGGCTCGTGCGCCCCCCCCCCGCATCCCTGCGCCCCCCCCCCCGCAGCCCTGCGTCCGGGGGTCGGGGGCTCGGCCGCGCGCGCGGGGCGGCGGCGAGGGCCCGGCGCCGACCACGTCCAACACTCCCGAACTTTTCGCGCCCCCCCTCCCCGCACTTTTCCCTACCCCCCCTCCCCTCCCCTCCCCTCCCCTCCCCTGCCCTGCCACTCGAAGCTTCCTCTTTCTCGGGCGTAGGAAGGGGTCACGCCCCGGATGGAGAAGGGGGTGGGGGAGGGGGTCGTGGGCTGGGGAGTGGGGGGCCCCGGGGGCTGCAGCGCGGGGGGCTGCTGGGCTGGCCGGGCCCCGAGGCCCTCCGGCTGGCCGGGGGTCCCCAGGGCGTGCTCGGGGCGCGGGGGCTCTGCTGGCGCGGCGCTGGACACACTTGGGGGGTCTGTAACTCCGGCAACAAAGGGGCGGCGGGGAGGGGGGGCGGCGGGGCGGGGGCGGCCCGCGGGGGGCGGCCTCGAGGCCGGGAGCCCCGGCCTGGGCGCATCCTGGCGGTGGCCGCGGCGGCGCCCGCGTGGCCCGTGCGCCCGGGCCTGGCTCGCCGGGCCCCGGGCCTGCCCTTGACCCGCCTCTCCCCCGGCCCCTTCCTTCCCCGCCCTGTCCCCCTCCCCGCCCCCCGGCGGCGGAGGGCGGGGGCAGCCGCGTTCCCGTCCCGCCGCCCGGGTCTGTCCCTCTCCCCGGGACCCGCCGGTGACGTTTCGCACACGTGCGCGGAGGACGCGCCTGTGACTGGGGAGGAGGCGGCGGCGGGAGGGGGCGCTGGCGGGGGAGCGGGGGGCACCCACTTCCTCCTGCTCGCCGGCTCCCTGGCCTGGGACGGTCCCGGCGCCCTCGCACCCGCCCCCGGCGCGGCCACCCTCCCTCGGCGCTCCCGACCCCCGCGGGCGCCCGCCCTCGCCCGGCGCCGCCGGTCTGCTCGGGCCTCCGCGCGCCCTCTCCCGCCGGCCCCCCGCCGCCCCGGAGCCTGGCCGGTTTCGGAAATGCCCTTACAGCAGCAGGTTAGTGACCGGGGCGGCGCGGGGGCGCGGGGGCGCGGGGCCCGGGTCCTGCGGGGGGCGCCGCCGCGGGGGGAGGCGGTGCGGCGGGGTTTCGGGGTGGGAACGGGGGGTTGGGTGCTCGAGGGAAATGAGTAAGCAAGAAAAATCCAACTAAGTAAATGCCCCGGCCTCTGGGTCTAGGAGCCTCAGGCCGGGAGTGTCCGCCCCAGGGGGCGGCTCTGCTGTTTACGTGGATTTTCTTCTTCTAGGGGGCCGAGGGATGGGCGATCGGGAGCCGGAGGGGGGCTCCTCGCCGAGGGCCGAGTTGAGCTCTGTTTTCCGTCCTCCTTCCCTGGTGCCGGAGGGGGAGGGGGCGGGTCAGAGGGTAGGGTGTCTGTAGGATTCCCAGGCCACCCGCCACCCCCTCCCTTTGTCCCTGTAATTTATAAAGCGCCTTTGAGAGATGATTTAGGTCAGGATGCGGCTCCTCTTTTTGTTGATACTAGAAAGAAGTGTGGCCCGGAGGTCTCCCCCCACCCCCCCTTTCTCCTTTTCTCCCTTTCCTGCATGGCTCCTGTCTTCACCCTCGTGGTGAGGCTTGGCCCCCACGAGGCTGCAGAGGAACCCAGAGTCGGATACGTGGTCAGGAAGACCAGCCGTTGACCTCACCTTGTGTCACTTGCAGATGGATTTATTTTGTGCAGGATCGAGATTTTTGCAGGGCTCTTTGGAGAGAGTCAGCCCATAGCCAGCACTTTGGGAACTGAGATGGGTTTCGGAATAATGAACGTTTTTGATTCCCTTAACTCTTTTTCCAATTTCGCCCATGGTTGGATCTTAACTGCTTTCCAGCCCGGGAGATACTTGCTGAGGATGTGTGATAGAGTCTCAAAAGAAGCTCATCGTTTTTTTTAGTGACAAGGGTCTGCCAGCAGGGGGGAGGTAGAGTACAGTACCTACTTACACATACTGTATCCAGTATGCTGGATCTCAGTCTCAAGAATATTCCATGCTGTTCACGTTAAATGCTGTTGCTTGACCTGACCCGAACATGGTTAGAATATATTTTAAGCCTCTTGGCCCCTTACTACACAGTTCTGTTACTATATCCTCCACCTAATCGGAAACAACCAGCTATTGACATATTTCTTGGATTGGATTCAGATCTATGGGAGAGTAGTTTTGATAATGGGAAATTATGAGACCACCAGATTGCTGGGTTTGTGTTTCTTTTCTTTCCTTTTTCTTTTTCTTTTTTTTTTTTTTTTTTTGAATCTTAGCCTGCTTGTCGAACCTCCAAAGCTGTCTGGCCAAACTTACATGTGCTTCATTGTATTTCAAGTATAAAGATTATTCCTCACTGTCTTCCAAGTTATTTCAAGAACTTTTATCTTTCTTTCCATGGGATTATTATTCCAAAGCCATGAGCACTGAATCTAAAGTTTTGATTTTCTTATCGAAAATATGTTAGTTTTTTTTGTTTTTTTTTTTTTTTTAAGTCTTGAAATTTGGTTCATCTCCTTGCCTAAGTGAGAAGACCGCTAGGGCGTAGCTGAGTGATTGCCTGAGCAGAGAGACCATTTAAACACTTGGGTGTCCAAGGAGAGGTTGAGAACTCTGTTCTGGTGGCCGGATTTGCAGACCCACCTGGTTCCAGCTCTCAGGAACATCTAAGAACTTAATAGGGGCAGATCCTCACCTTATTTTAACGGGAGAAAATAGATGAGTACTACCTTACTGGCTGTATTGTCTCTATCATTGACAAATTTCATGATCTTAGGCAAATAATTTCTTAAGAAAGTTTCCTTTTCTGTAAAATAGGAGCAATAGCAATACTAACTTAAAGGTTCTTTTTAAGGGTTCACTATGATAATGTGTGTAAAAGACTTTGCACAGTGCCAGGCAAATGGTAGATGTCCAATAAAATTAGTATTCAGAAATGTGGTTTCTTCTATAACTTAGAGAAATAGCGTTAAGACTTGGTGCACAGTCCTTTGTTTGCATGTGAATAAAATGCTTAAAAGTTTTCTAAGGTGATATCTAATTAATTATACCCAATTAATTTGGGTTTTTATATCCACAAAACATGGCGGTTCTAGCAATGGGTAATATAGGGACATGTCAGTAGGATGGGACTGTGCAGAGATGGTGTCAAACTGTCTGTATATGACCTTGTGCCCTGAGATGTGATAAACTTAGATCAACTCACCCTCACTTTTTCACCTGGGTTCTACTTCTCCCATGACTCCATGGACTGCTAACTTTTGGGTGCAGTCTGTGCTTCGTGGCTCTTGCGGAACTGTGCTCTAAATTGTCACCAAGTCAGAGGCGTGCTCCAGGTAAATTCATTTTCAGATGGTGAGCCCTTGGAAGTGGAAGAATTATAGAGAACCAGAGCCAGAAGAGCTATTTTCTGGAGCAGAAAGGGTTTCCTCATTTTCTGCCTCTTCTAAAAAGAAGGTGAATTTTATTTCCTTCTAGGCCTAGAAAATTTGGGATGTATTAATATGAGACAGTAGCCTTTCACATCTGATTTAATTTAATCCAGTCACAGCAGCCTACTGATTATACTCTGGGAGAGAACCCATAGTGCTTGAAATTTCGGTGTAAGAATGGAGGAACCGTAGATGCTATAGCTGGGTCTGGTTTTTTGTTGGGTTTTTTTGGTTTTTTTTTTGTTTTTTTTCCTTGTGTGAGTATAAAAGAAAAATGCTGGGTTCCTGTGGTTCTATACTCAATAATCTTGCTTCTGCTGAGCTATATGATTGATGCCAAGTTTAAACTAGGAGAGAATTTTTAGTCACTACATACCCCAAAATGGAAGTTTTAATATAATGCAGTGCCCAGACTCTGGACAGTTCAAATAGCTCCACTATAATCAGTACCAAGGGCGCCACTCTAATCATCCTCTGAAACAAAGCACCCTTAAATGTGGCAGTGTGAGCTAAGGAACTCAAGCTTGCGAACAGGAAAGGATTTTCTGTTTTGTTTTGTTTTGTTTTGTTTTGTTTTTCTATAGGTCATCACCTTGTGTAATACTTGGAAGAGGAGATTCTGAGATTAATGTT